AATACATCGTACTCACGTATTATATATTATTTAAGTTAGGTCAAATTTATGTATAATTAAATTATATATCGATATTTATTTATTCATTTATTTATTCGTTTATAAATACATATATAACAAAAAAAAAATAAAATAAAAAAATAAAAAATTAATAAAAATCTTTTTTGAGATACTTGGTTTCGGAGACTTACTCTCCTACTCGTCCCAACCACCACGTAGAGGTGTATCTCATTGGTTGGGAAGGTTTCCCCCAACCGATCTCTCCCGAATTTCCCGACCGGGAGTGGGTTGTTCCACTTGAATCAAAATTGATCCAATAGGCTTTAGCTCATAACCTCTAGAGCTCAGATACTATACTATACTATCTATTCTATACTATACTATCTATTTATCCACCCTCTCCTTCCTCCCACCAAACCGTTAACCCACAAGTTTTTGACTCTCAAGAAAGATACGTAACCGGCCCCTCATGCAGAACCAGTAGACCTTAAGTAGAGGAAATTCAAAAGCTTGTGCCTAGTTAGACGGTTTCCGCCGATTAATCAACAACACCAATAACCACCAAAACCAACGTACGATCTAAACCCAACAACAACAATCTACCCACTAAAAATGTTCTAAACCCCCAACAACCCACTAAAAATGTTCTAAACACCCAATAATAAACCCAACAAAAATGTTCTAACCTGTCAACAACAATCTTAAACCCACTAAAAATATTCTAAAACCCAACAACCCACTAAAAATGTTCCAAACCCCCCAATAACCCACTAAAAATGTTCCAAATTCAACAAAAACGTTCTAAACCCACCAAAATGTTCTAAACCCACTAAAAATGTTCTAAACCCACCAAAAACGATAACCTAAACTTACCAAAACAACCTAAACTCACCAAAAACAACCCAAACCCACAAATAACAATCTAAACCTACCAAAAACGTTCTAAATCTAACAATAACGATATACAGTAAAACAATATAACAGTCAACAATAAAACAAAGGTATATATAAAAAAGAAAATGAAAAATGAAAAATGAAGGTTATAATGAAAAAAAACAAAAGGTATGAAAAAAACGCGATAAAACACGAATATTGTAATATGAAAAGATTTCTTATAAATAGTAAGATGATCACAACAATTCATGTGATTAATTCCAATATTAGTGTTAGGTTTAGAAATTATAAATTCGGCCTGCACTACACCAGTATACTGATCAGCTCACTTATTTCTGAATTTCGTTCGTGATTCAAAAATTAAACTCAGAATATTTGAATTATGTTAAATTTTCAATTAATATTTATAGGGACTATATATATATTTGGTTTCAATTTGAATGGAAAACTTCTTTTAATAACATTTGTGTAATTTGTGTGCAAAATTATCTGAAATACAGTACGTTACTAATTTATACATAATTTAAGAATAATTCACTTTACGTATTCTTAACATGATCTATGCTGTATCTCCTAAAAAGTTATTCACAAAAATTTTTTTGAAGTATTTTTTTTTAATTGATGCAATAATACAGTAATAAAAAAATATACCGGCAAATAGTTGTTAATAGGCTTACATAATGGAGACTCAAATTTCGGCACCAGCCTTAACAATTATTGCATTATCATCGATTATTTTCTTCCAAGTCATCAAAGATTAGTTCTAATGAATTTCTCTCATTCCACAACTTTTGGATATCCTCAGCTGTAAGCAATTCTGAATTTATCTCAGTAACATAACCAGTAATTAGATCAGATTCTAATTTTTCGAAATATACATTTCTAACTCGCATATTTTTACAAT